TGCCAGCTGGGCTATCAGATGACTTTTATGACCTATAGCGTTTTGTACGTAATAACAGGGAGAGATTTGTGGACCCATCACGGCTCCTCTTCCAGTGGTAGGACTTTATTAGCTCCATTTATTTTTGACTCTCGTCCTAAGCCCGGCCCTCCGGGCCCTCCCCTGGAGTGCTGGCCGGGTGCTACCACCTTCTCAGCTTCTGAAAAGGCACCTTTTTCAGTTCCCTCTCCTAGCCCTACTGATTCGAATTCCTGATTTATTTATTTGGGGGTGGGGTGGGGTGGGGTGGGGCAGGGGAGGAGAAGAAAAAAGAAAAAGGCCCTTTCCTTTGTTTGTGTTTTCCCCGGGGTTGTACTGTATTAACACGTCCTTCCTTTTCAAGACGGTCAAAGAAAACAAGATAAAGGAGCACAAAGGGGCAGGCTGCTGGGGGCTGGTGTTTTCCCCCTTTCCTATCACCGCAGAGATTGAATCAAAATTCTTTTAGCTGATACCATCTCCCCGGGTGGACTACACTCTTGTTAACGGATAAATTCAAGCCCTCCAGAAAGTCAAAGAATAAATTTAAGCCTTTTGCCAAATGTCTATCCTATTGGATTTTGATAAGACGGCCATTGAGCCTTAATAATGTCTTCCATCCATTTTCAGCGGGCCCTTAACACGGCTCTTTATTCGTCCCCAAAGCCTCTTCGCCCGGCCTTTTTATTACCGGCCCTGGCGGGCTCTCCAGGGAGCGGGGCGACCCGAGTGATGGATGGACAACTCGCTAGATTATCTCCCGCAGATGTTTGCTCTCCAGGAGCCCCGGGCTTTCCCTCTAAGTAAACAGAGACTAAATAGAGTCGGCGGCGGAGGGAGCAGTCCCAGAAGTGCTGGCACCGTGCGCGGCTCGAAAAGGCGACACAGCCCGACCTGCAGCCAAAGTGACTTTGGGGGAAGCTCCGGCAACTCGCTCTGGGGGTGCACCAGGGCGGCGGGAGTGGGGGTGTGGGGGTGAAGGCACCGGGAGGGGCGAGCACGGTCGGGTCTCATCAGCACCAAAGCCAAATGCTCAGGCTGCGGAGAAGACATGGGGACAGAGACCGCAGAGGGAGGAAGATGCAAGAATGCAGGACAGAGGGTGGAGAGGGACGCGAGGGACGGTGAAGGGGGTAGGGCTGCAGGGGTCACAGGAGGGGAGGAGGGGGCTGAGGGACACCGGAGGCTACTGGGTGTGGAGGCTACTCCAAGGCGGGGCGTCTGGCTCTGCCAGGCGGTGGCTCCGCCCTTCTGAAGGCGCGGCCAAGCCCGGCGCCTCTTGCGGATGTGGCTGCTATCACTCCAGAGCCCCGCCCCCTCCATCCCCCCACCCCCGTGTCCTGAGTTCGAATCCCACCCCATACGCCGGTGCTGGGACCTCCCTGGGCCTGGGCTTTTTCCGCCTGTAAACTCTGAACACATGGATTCTTCAACCCTATCAGCAACCTGGCTCTCTAATACTTAGAATTTATAACCACAACTTCCCCACAAAATATCACATTTTCTGTACCTCTTGTGTCAAGCCACTGACTGAATTAATTAACTTTTGTCACATTTCACTGATGCAGATAAAGAACAATCATCTTTATGCAGATAAAGAACAAATGTAATTGTCCCAATGAGGGAATAGGTGAAGCTCAGAGATGTCAACGAACCAACCCGAGGCCACACAGCCCCCCAATGCTTCTGCACCATATTTTTAAGGCTCCCAAACCTATGAGTCTTTGGGGGCAAAGGGGCCCTGTTTAGCCAGACACAGAAATGACGACTAGGAGTCTACATCCTATTACCGGGGAATCCACCAAATTAGTCTTTAAGATAGCAAGCCAAGGCATGTAGAGTTATATTCTGTAATGAACATATATATCTCCACAGCTGTACGTTAACATCTGCGTGGAAGGTGGGACCTGCTATTTGGAAGCAGGTCAGATGAGTGCCGCATTTATCCATCTTACAGCCCTGTTTACCATTGCTCACACCGCTCAGCCCATCCACTCGCTCCCTCCCAGAACAGCAGGGCACATAACCAGGTGGGTCCACATCTAAGCACCACTGTTTCACCAGTGTGACCTTGAGCACCCACCCCGTCACAGTCAAACGCCCCAAATGCCGATAACACCGAAGTTCAATGGGAACCTGGGACAGTCCTGGTCTTCAGGGGATGTGGGTGCTGTGCTGCAGCCTCTCTGTGGGGCAGAACGCCCTCCGGGGAGCCCCCTGGGCCAGAGCTGGCTGGGAGTCAGGGGGCGTGCCCCAAAACAGACCGCAGCCAAGATGCCCGGTGGCCCTGCTGCCCAAAGCTGGCTCCCTGACACTCAGGGCTATGGGGTCGGGTCTGTTCTGATGCTGTGCGGAGAGGGACCCCAGGCCCCTGGATGAGCCTTACAAGGGCCTGCGTTTGAGGAGATGCCCACCCATGCTATGCTGGGCAGTTGTGGGCAGGGCCCTGGCTGGGCGGCACCTGGCGCCCAACCTGTGAGCAGCTCTCGGGAAGAAGGGCCTCTGGACCACGTCAGCCAAGGCCAAGGGCCCCGCCGCTTATAAAACAAAAAGGCCCATTGAGCCCCATTGGGCTCCAGGACGACAGAGGAAGTGCAAACTCCTGTTCTTGTCCTGCCTGGTTTTGTTCTGGTTCAAAACCGTTCATGGGCCGGCCGAGTGGTGCATTGGTTAAGGATTGGCTTGGGACGCCAGCTCTGAGCAGCAGGGCCCCGGTTCGGATCCCACATGAGGGCCAGTGACGCTGCGCCCTCTACAGCTAAGATGGTGAACAACAGCTCGACCTGGAGCTGGGCTGCTGTGAGTCGCTGGCGACGGCGTAGGCTGCAGTGGGGCTGGCCAGCAGCTGGCGTGAGCTTTCATGAGCTTCCATGAGCTGCCGTGAGCATCTGTCCAGAGGCCGGCGGCCGATCTGCCTCACCCAGGAAGAGCGCAATGATAATGCCAACATGGGCCAGTGAAGAGACATCTGCCACAACTAGACTGAAGAACAAAAGGACAGCAACTTGGCTGTTCCCCTCCCCCAATTCCCCAATAAAAATCTAAAAAAAAAAAAAAAGTGTCCAGCACTTGCCTCCTCACTGCCCTTTACTTTAGATGTGACCATCCAGCCTTGACCCTGTACCCAGGCTGGACGACTTACTGCCCACCCCGTCACAGACGCATCCCTCTAACCTCCAGCCAGGCTGCCCACTGTGGGAGGAAGTCCTGCCCAGGGTCGATGGTCAGGTTCATAATTGTGGTGGGAAAAATGAAGATTTCACATTCGCTCTGGAAGTTGAAACTGGAGTTGACTGCAGGTCCCTTTTTGTGGGAAATAAAAATACCTCAATTCTTTAAAATGTGGGAACGCTGCTTCATAGCTATCACTACTTTATATCCTTTAAGAAACTATGAATTCATTCCCAGAGGCAAGAAAAGGGAAAAGAACGCTGTCAGGACTGAGTTCACTTTGAGGAGGAAAGGCCTTAGGCCACCCCCGGGCAGTGGTAGTGACAAGGGAGTGACACCTTGTCCCAGCGTCTGCTCAGACAAAAGGATCCCATGGGGCCAGACACAGGCCCTGAGTTATGGAGACGTATGAAGTAAAAAGGGTCGCCCTGTCAGAGGTCCTTCAGGAGGTCACCGCAAGGTCAGAAAATGTCTCCCATTACAACGTTTTCTCCAAAATCAATGTATCTGGTGTTGAACCTGGCAGGAAGGGGCAGGCAGGTCCCCAGTCCCTTCCAGATAGGTCTGCTTCTATGGCGGGTCCCCCATCCCTTATCGATAGGTCTGCCCAGATGGCGGGTTCCGTGTCCTACCCACCATGGAGAATTGCCCAGGTGCCTAGGTTCCAACCACCAAGCCAGGCACAGAGAGAACCTGGTAAAGTCTGGCAGAACTTTCCCTGTCAGGAGTGAGGGAGGGGCCTTCGCCATGACTTCAATGCTCAGCTCTCAGCCTGACAGACCCGTGAGCGCATATTCTGTGATGTGACATTGAGAACACAGCACTTGGTAAGAGCTGGCTAACCTGGTGCTGACTCAGCGCTCCCAGCAGCCGTGCTGTGCGTCCTGACACTGTCTGGGTAAGACGCGCACATGCAAAACACTGACTAAGAGAGAAAATGCTGCTTTAGTTCTACTAAAAACCCCAATACTAGACCAGCTGCCGTGTGTGAGTGTAGGTGTCTGTGTGTGTGTTTGTATGTGTGTGTATGTGTTCATGTGCATGTCATGTGTGCTTGTGCGTGTGCACAGGTGCCTGTTGTCATGTGAGCATGTTTGTGTTACTGGGTGATGTGCATGTGTGTGTCCACATGATGTGTTTGTATGTGTGTGGCATGTGTCCATGTGAATGTGCGTGCCTGTGGAGGCTCAGCTCTGTCTAATGACAGGCTGCGGGTTTTGTAGACGATTTCCGGGTCTGACCCCTTTTGCCGGCAGACGCAGGTACATACTGCGTGTGTGCGCGTGCATGTGTGTATGTGAGTCTTTCCTCTGGGTTGTGTGTGCCTTTCGGGCCTAGCTCACCCTTGGGTCTTTTAGAGCTAATGTCTATCAACCAGCTATTATCTGTCGCCAGCCAGCAGAGCAGCAGACGCCGTCACATTCATACTTCTCGCCTAATGGGTTGCTGTTGAGCGCCAGGCCCAGGCCCTCTTGGAGGCTGAGTACAACCTGCAGCCAATCGTGTTTTTCCTCCCTGAAGCCTTTTCAAGTAACTAGCCAGTGAAGACAGTGACATAAACATAACCTGAGTCTATTTAATTTCACGCGTCGCCTGGGATCCCCACAGGTACAGGGCTCCTCTCAGTTCTCAGGAGCCAGGGAGGGGCTCAGTGAGGTGACTCCTACCTGCCCAAACGACGAAAGTCAGCCCCATCCTCATTACACAGAGTCATCGTTTTGTGCACTCGCTCGTGGACTGCCCGCACGGCCACCGGCCAGACTACACACACGCAGCACAGGGATGCACGTGACCAAGGCGAGCTCTCCTACCTTCTGGATGCAGCCTTCCTGTGACGACACTTCTGCATCAGCCAGCATTTGCTGCAAAACAATTTCGAAAGGCATTGTTAGTTTCTGGCAGAATGCAGCTCTCAAGCTACCGCGGGCTGTAAGTCACGGGGGCAGATGGAATGTCCTCTGAAATACCGAGGGTGCGACCCAGCAACTTCTCCATAATCTGAGAGAAAGCGCTCTGTGGAGAACTGGGGTCCTTCATTCTGACAGGGTCTCCCCACTCGTTGAGAACGGTAAGGAGCCCCCCATGATATCCCTTCCCTGGGAAGGCAGCTGGGTCCTTATAGGGACAAAGCCACTCTGTGGTGCTCACCCTGATCCCTTAGTAATGGGGTGGAGACCCGCACATATTATCAGAAAGAGTTCAATAGGGGCACAAAGACGTTCCGAAGCATGTAACGAGTTCTCGCCTCTTTCCTCTGAGTCCCACCAGCACACTGCACCCCACGTTTGGGGGTGACCATGCCCGTGTGGTGTGCAGCCAGAGTCGGCAGGGGGCTGCCCCGTCCGGCCGTACAGACACAGGCTTGAGAGAGAGAACAGACAAAGTGCCAGCCATTCCGGGGTTTTCTTCCACACTTTGGACTTGGAGCTTTCCTTGGCTCAGCTCTGCAGAGCTGTAGTCTTTTGCCTGGCAGGCAGCGCCTCTTAAAAACCACCGGGTTCCACCCGAGGGGCGGCATTTCAGGGACAGGTCCCAGAGCGCTTTCTAAGCTAAGAAAACTGACAAATTAGCTGTATAAATGGGGTTTTCCCTTCTGGATCGAAAGTGCGTGGACACGTATAGAAATTGGAACGTCACTTCCGTAAGAATAGAAACAGATTGAAACTAATAGTTCAAAAATAAAACAAGAAATGGTGTCAAATCCAGGGGTTTCACTTCCCCTCCCCTTAAAAGTACACCATTGCCTTTTCAAATTACCAGCGTGGAGCAGAGGGCCCGCCAGTGCCCACGTGGGCAGTGGGGGGGGCCAGGATGCTACGTTCCAAAGCACTGGCGAATTTGCCTGCACTCAGCTGTAATAACAATAAGTCATATTTTTAAATGTTGAGAATTCTAACCAATTGGGGATTTTATGTTTCTTTTAATAGATTCTGAAATTGTGGTTTGGAAAGCGACTGTAAGTGCAAAGAGAGAATTAGAAAAAGATGAACGGCGCAGCAGGGACACTGAGAAGGTGCCCCAGGAGCATCCGCAGAGGCCAGGTCACCTGGTGACCTGTCCCCGCTGGGCCTGGGCTGGACAGGCCCCATGGGAGCTTAGCCTCAGAGGCTGGGGGCTGAGTTCAGCCAGCGGGCAGGCCTGTCTTTCTGCCCTCTCATCTGTTTGCGTTTCCCTCTCAAATCCAGACTTGAGAAGGCTGGCGAAGCTGTCCATCTACACCAAGACGACGGGGGGAGTGAGGCTGACCGCCTGCATCTCAGAAAAGCCTGTGGCTCCAGGAAAGGGCTGAGCTCCCCAATGTCCAAAGGCCAGAGAGGGCGATCCGGAGCCACCCCCAGACCCTGAGGACAGAGGTAGACCACTGTCCTGCTGTAGGCTGTCCAGGCCTGCTCCCTGGACTCGGTCACCAACCTGAGATGGAGACCTTTATCAGAAGTGGGGGTTCCTTTCTTGGGTCATGAGGTCCCCTGAACTGGGTAGAGTTCTATGGTTCATTAACCTGTCCCTTATGGAAGGGGTGGCTTGAAAGCAGCCTTTAGGGCCCAGGACATAACCACATGAGGGGTGCCCATGGGAACAACCTCCGTTCTTAGGATCTCTGCCTCAGCTGAGTCTTGTCCACTGTGACTGAGAAGCTGTGCTGAACCACGAAGTGGCCCCCTCGGGCCTTGGTGGCACTCGCGCCTCACCCTCCTTTCACCACATTGAGTTTAGTCAAAGAAGGCACCCATTCAACACCACCACGGAGGCGGCCTGGGCCACCCGACCTGGCCAGACGCCACTCCCGTCACCGTGCGGCTGTCGGGGGCCATTCGCAGGGAAGGGGCTTAAGGGATGCTCGTGCACCAACATGGACATGCAGCTGTCTTGCAGAGCCCGGGAGAGCCTGCTGAATGTGTCATGGGTGCCATGTGACCTTCTCTAGCTGCAGCCAGGCCAGCTCGGTCACATTCCCACGTGGGGCCATACAGTAACTTCGGGCCCTCAGAGAAGCCACCTCTGGGAGACCAGAGAGCCTTCAGGGGTGTGACCTGCCCCCATGGTACCTACAGCCATGCTGGAGGTGTGACCCGCCCCTGGTGCCGGCGGCCATTGGAGGCAGAGCTCTGGGCCCGGTCTGGCTCCAGCCTCCCGTCCAGCCCAGGCCACAGGCCCAGGTCAGAGGCGTCCCGACCCAAGCAGCTCTGGGGCTCCCGAGAGTCGGGGGGCTGGGCTGCTGAGCCCCCATTGGCTGGAACACCATCGATGGAGACGCGCGTTGACGGCTACGCTAAAACCCCAACCGGCCTTCCCAGCCCTGCCTGCTTCTCGGCTACGCTGTCTAAGATGCTGTCTCTCTGGGGTCCCCAGAGAAATCAGTGCCACCTACACAGGCGACATTGGCGACGTGACTGTGCCTCCTGGGCCTCGGGGCCAGCGCCGCTCACCGCTCACGTGCGCCTGGCGGCCCGTCCAGGAGCCCGGATGTGCCCGGAAGTGCCGCGGGGCGGGCGCGGGGTTTGCTGGCCTCAGGTTGGGCCGCGGCGGGGAGGCCCGCCTCTTCCGGTGGGACGAAGGCCCGCCTCTTCCGGTGGGACGAAGGCCCGAGAAGAGTCCGAGCCGCGGGACCCCCTCTCCGCAGTGCGCTGTGCGGGACGCAGCGGTGCTCGCCCCGTCGCGATGCGGAGGGTTGTCCCGGGGGCGCCCGCCAGCACCGCGGCCCCACAGCGGAGCCCTCGGGGCTCCACCACGCTGCACACGGGGCCCACGCGGGGCGCCTGCCGTTCCTGCCGAGTGTCCGCCAGCCGTGTCTTCATGTCACTTGTGGTGGCCTTGACCGCTCTTTCCCCGGACCCCCCACGGCCCCGTTCGTCCAGAGGTCGCGCTGTGACCACCGAGCAGGTTCCGAAGCTTGCAGGCCGCCACGAATGTCGCCTGGGCTGGCTCTAAGCACGGGGTCGTCTCCCAGGAAAACGCGACTGCTCGTTTCACTGAGCGGGTGAGAGTTTCCTTCAGGCCAGAAGGGGCGCAGACGGGGCGCCCTCCCCCGGGGTCCAGAAGCTGCCCTGGAACTCCGTCCCGCTCCGCGGGGAGTCAGTGCTCTGCTGGACCGAGGCCGCGCCCACGAGGAGGACATGGGGCAGGAGGCCCGACCCGGACAGAGGCCGCTGTGAGCCCGCCTGCCCCGGACTGCAGACAAGGCGGCGGCACCGGTCGTGTCCCCTCCGTGGGGACCCCGGGTGGCCTTCCTGCAGCCCGGTTCCTCCAGGCTCCTGCACCTGCTGCTGAGCCCCACACAGGGACCCCTCCCGACGCCCCGAGACACCGTTGGTCAGAAACCAGCACGAGGAACCTTCCGAGGGGAGGTGGGGCGGCCACTCCCTACGGAATTCAGAGCGCGGGCGTCGTGGGGCCACGCGGCCCCTCTCCCCTAGATCTGTGCTGTCCCTCCACACGGCCAGCCGCCGTCCAGGCCTGACTGCACCCCACAGGCCAGAACCACTGCCCTTCATCAGAGGCTGCGCGTGGCCAGACGGGACGGAGCGTCTCAGGAGGCCCGTGGGTCACACTGCCAGGCCCTTCTGCCCACCGCCGTCTGGCGAGGCCTGTGCACAGGCTCAGCGACCGCTCCCGACCACCCGTGAGCCTGTGGTCAGACCACACTGTCCCTGAGGGGTCAAGACTCTCCGCACGACGCACCAAGTAGGAGACTAGACAGTCGTGCGCATCAGTGCAGGGCAGGACCAGGTGGCACCAGGCGGGGCCAGGCGCGCTCGGGCTGTCTTCACTGCTCCCCTAAGCTTGGGCCTCAGCGCCTTTCAGGCCGCGGGGTGCGGGCGGTTAGGCAGAGCGGCTGCCGAAAGCACAGCTGTAGGACCACAGCTGAGCAGGGAAGACCCCCACCCATCACGCGATGCAGACAGAAGCGGGCGACGGGCTCCACCTGCCCGATGCTGTCCCACCCCCACCCTCACCCCCAAGAGGAAGCCGGTGTGATGACTTTAAAGCAGGACGTGCCTTCCTGCAGAGAGGGTCTCATTGGGTCCCGGAGCCCCCTGATCCGGAAGCTTCTCTCTGCCTCCCCTGTTCACCAGCCCGCCTTGGCAGGTACGCACAGCGATACCTCTGCTCTTCACCCACCGCTGACCTCGGGTGGACACCCGCCGGACGCACCCCTTCTGGAGCCTCTCAGCCCTGGCCTTCCCCTGCCAAGGCTGCACTTTGCTGAAATACGTCTTTATTCTGCTAGCTGAGCCCTCAGCACACGCGTCGCTGGCTGGCCGGCTGTTGGCAGTGGCTGTGGCCGCTCTCAACCCCATCTCCACACCCCGGCACAAGTATTAGGTGTGTTTTGATTAAGCATTTTAGCCAAAAAAGCGAGGTTTGACCTCCGGCATTTTGCTTCTCTCGCGGGTATCAGTGCCAGGACTGAACTAAGTGGGGTTGGTCAAAACATCTTTTTTGACTCTTAAAATAAATACCCTCTGTTCTCCAAAGAGTCAGCCCAAAGTAGACGCACAGACATCTCATACACTCACAGCTCTGGAGCTCTGGCGTGTCCCCCGAGGGGGGCTAAGCTTTCTGGTCGGTGTCACAAATGGATCCCAGGTTTCTCTCCCTTCCAAATAATCTGTTATTAAAGTATCTGAAAACATACCTACAGGAGGAAACCAGACAGAGCCCGGCCTTGTGGCTTCAAAACCAGAGAGAAGCGGATGAAGCGCCCCCCAACCCCCAGCCCGGCCTGTGGCCCCAGAGGTCACCGAAGGCTCTTGTTTTCCGACCTCTTGCCCTTGGCCTTGGCGCCCAGACCTCTCTCTAGCCTGCTTTGCCCTCGTCCTTTGCTGAAGTCGCCTCTTCCTGCCCAAAGCTGTGAGTCTGG